CTACTTTGTACACAAACTTTACATATAGATACAATTTGATATGATTGATAAATTATAAATTTCATAATTTAATGTCAAATATTATATAAATAACACTTTAATTCGATATTAAAATATTATTTTACAGAATGTCTTATAAATTTTTCAATTAATTTTCGCGCACATACCTATGACACACATTCGATTAAATGGTTTTTAACACATACATACAATTTTCAACGATTCGTGTCCTCAATCTTGATTATGTTTGAAAACATAATATTAAAAAACGGAAATAAACAAAAGTTATATTGATATTCTATGAACATCACAATATTGTGAATAAATACACATTTCGACAAAGCACGTTACCGGTATCCTAACCCCCAAATCAAAGCAAATGACGTCTTTCACCGGTTGCTAATATTTCACGCCATGGTTATCTTCTTTCTTCCTTATTCTTCGCTTAACCTATCCCATTCTATATTGTGTATTTCATCTAATTGAAGAATATGATGTAAATGTTATAAAATCAATATAACAAATCAAACGATCCGCGTTTTTCGTCCACTGCACTACGTCAAGATACTGTATATATATCACGATATACAATATATCGATTATAATGACGATCACAACGATGATGACGACGATAATAATAATGACTACAACGTAATGATAAACTTTTAAAACTTCTTTCGTTAAACTTGTTTTTCGAAAAAATAAGCGAAGAGAAGCACGAAAGACGTGACAACATCCTACCCAGAGAGTTCCCAACAAACTGCTGTCCGTGACCAGGTGTCTCCTCTCTTTATTCCTTTTGGGTCCCAAGTACATGAAAGCCCCCAACTATATAGGTACCCCTTAGGGCCGATGGTGGGGGCTTATTCTTATTTAACAGCAACGAAGCAGGAACACCAGCAACAACCAACTTTAAAGCTTTCCTCTTTTTTTTTTTCGTGTCCTTTTCTCGATCTCTTTTTATTCTCTATCTTTTTCCGTTAGCTTCTACCTTCAATTCTTTCAAGTTCCTCCCCTTTTCTTCTTTTGTTCACTATCTCTTTCTCTCTTTCTTTTCCTTTCCATCATCCTTTTTCTACTTTCTTGTAATCCATCTCTTTCGCCTATTTATACGTGCGGCTATCTTTTCTTTCTAACTTATGTTTCTTCTTTGTTCTTCTTGTATTACTTTGTGATACTCTACAGATCTATCGGTAAAGCCCGCCAAAATTATATCAGCTGTCCTGAATTTTGCTCTACCTGTCAAGTTCGTGACGTATATGATTCTTGTTCTATCTTTTTGTTAAGTAAATGTCCAATGGGAAAAAAAGGGTCGGTCGGATCTTATAACAAGACTATAACGATTTATGTAACGACAATTTTCAAATTCATATTAGAAATATCGGTTTAAATCGGTTATAGTTTGATTTATGATAAAAATAAATTATTATTTATTTGAAACATTATTTATTTTCATTTTTTATATGTATATATGTATATTTTAAAAAATAAAAAATAAAAATTAGAAATTTTTAAATATGAAACATTGAATTGAGGATGATCTACATATAATCTTAAATATAGTAATTAGATAAATAATTAGATATCTTTATTTTCTAAAAAAATATAATTGTTATATAATATTATTATATATACATTCAACAAAATTTTATTATTATTATGTATACATTCAATAAAATTTTATTATTTAAAATTTAAGTTTATAATATATAAATAAATAAATATATAAATGCAAAAATAAGCATAAAATTTTTTGAATTTTTGACATGTTGACAAGCTCGATATTTTTTTTTTAATAAATTAAATTACATTTAATATTTATTATTCTGATATAAATGATTTCAAAAAATATATATATACAATATATTATATACAATATATTATATTTATATATACATATATATATATATATATAAAGATTCATAAAATAAATATGAAAATCAAATATTTTCATAAAAATTGCACAGTATATTTGATTTTATATAGTTTGATATTATAATTGTTTAATCAAATTATTATAAGTTTTCAAATAAGATATTACTTTAATGATATTCTTTTATTGATGAGTGACATGCATTGATATCCGAAAAAAGAAAAAGAATTGAAGACTGAAAGTGATTGAGAACCACTTGTAGGAGGACAGCTGCCGCTGCGAGCGCATCTGCTGTCGGTTGCGCGGGCACGCGCGCTTACATATCCTTATTCCTATGTTGGTACTATACACTCTATATAGATGCACACGGGTCGAACGCATACGGTACTCCTCTGTTCTCCTTATTTCTACCATGTTGTTCCGTCCTTTTTCGCTAATCCTTTCCTTTTCCCTTTCTTTCCTTATTTTTGTCCGAACATTCGCTGCTCCCCCCTTTTCTCATTCTTTCCTCTTTCCCCTCCTATCTACCTGTGTCCTTCGTTCATTTCAGTTGGTTTCTTTTTTCTCACCCTTCAAACTGCGACATCGCAGCATTCAAATCCCGTTTTCAATATACCTTCTAGCAAACGCTTCTTCTCGTTGTATTGGGGGTTGACGGTCTTCCCTTTAATACCAGAGCGAGGATTTATAATCCATGGGAGAGAGGGTCTACTCGTGTTTATGGTATATACGATGGCTGCTGATTTCGAAAGGCTCGTACACTTAGTTCATAATACCTACACAGCAGTAGGGTTTTCTACGGTATGTAACAGCATACGATGCAGCTTGCCACACAGCCGGTACGTAGACCGCCGCGGTACCCGAAAATTTTCTTTGTTCTCATTGTTCAAAGAATTTCCACTATGCGTTCACGATAGCTACGTTCCTTACAAAATTGTCGATTTTCTCTACAGAGGCATTTTTCCATCTGCTTTCCTTGTTATACTTATTTTTTCTCTTTCTTTTTTTCTTCATTCTTCACGAAACCTCCCTCTCCACAGGATTTTAAGTTCAGCTCTTTTGTCTGTTTGCATACCTGCTCTCATTGAAATGAACTGATGTGATCAATGTTTATCAATACTTTAAATTTTTCTTGAAAATTTATTTTATTTTTTATTATTTATCATATTTTATATTAATTTTATTTGTTATATATCGTTATAAAATTTGAGAAAATATTAATAGGAATTTATTATCTATATTATATCTATATAATTTAATTTTGATATGGATTGATAGTATATCGATGATATATAGCTAATGAAGGATACTTTTATTTTTATAATATTATTTTTACTTTTTATAATATTAAGCTATAAATATCATTTCTTTTGTTTAATGTTGAAAAAATACTAGATTATAATATATTATTTCTGTTATCTTATCTTAAACTTTAAAGGCCGGAAAACCACTATAATAGTTAAGTCTTGACAAAAACTTTATGTAAGACGTATTACTTATGCATATATATATATGTGTATATGTGTGTATTAGTTTTTCCAATGAATCTAATAATCTAATAATTTATAATATTTCATTTGTCGGCTCTCTAAAGATTAAATAAGACAAGTTTCGAAGCATATCGACACATGCCAGAAAATGGCATCGATGTGCAGCATGTGTTTCACACCGTAGAGCCCAGATGGCAAGCGTTGAATCCCTTGCTTAAATTTTCATTATAACACTGCTGCTTTCCAGACCACCTGTTCTATGCGTAGTTTCAAACTATTCCTAAAATTTTATCAATATAAAAATATAATTTTTGATAATTTTTTCAAATTATATCTCAATATTAATTGCTTATATATATTAATTAATTTAGACATATTATATATGTATAAAATATATAATATGTCTAAATTAACATATAATTTAATAATATATTTTAATATATTCTTAATTATATTTTTATTTTAATATTTTAATATATCCTTAATATTATTTATCATAAAAATTGTTATATTTATTTATATTTATATTAATGCAAATAATGATTTTAATTTAAAAATAAGAATAAAATAGATTATTCCTTTTATAATCATTTAATAAAAAAAATTTTTATATGAATATATGTATATAATAATATATTGTGTTAACAAACGACCGTTCCAAGCGACGTTATACTTTGAGACGAGTTTCAAAAGATCTTTGTTCGCATCAGGGAAGTGAATCCGTGGATGAATTCAAACGTGTTCGTGTATACGAATACTTTATGTCGTCTATAACAACCGGAAGTTGAACATACATAATGTTTCTGGGTGCGTCTGTTTGTGCCATTTTTCGCTTCACTGACAAATAAAAACAAAGTACTGATTAATCATGATTTGATGAATATAATATTTATTATCCATGCAAATGTAATATATTTTAACTAACATTTAATAAAATTTATTTCATTTTTTTTTTATTCACAAATATTTTTACAAATTAAAGAGAAGTTGGAGATATTATTATAAGTAATTAACTTCTATTAACTTTATTTTAAATAAAATAATGGCTATAAATTATTACGAAAATTATTTATTACATTGATCATAAGAAAAAGAAATTTTTATAATTATTCTTTTATATACAAAACTAAATATTTTTTGCAAGTAATTTTGTATATACAACTAATTAATCATTATAAATATTTTTATACTTTACTAATTCTTATATAATTTATTTTAATATAGAATAATATAGAATATAGAATAGGAAACATTCATGAATTCATTATTCAAGTAATAAAACAGATTTCTTTCTTATTGATTGTACGAGCAGTCGGTAAGGAATTATTAAAATGATATATAAAAAAGTAAATAGGTCAAAATCCTTTCACTTGCTAGAATTAATTCCTCAAAGTCTTTACGATGGCACGAATAGAAAATGTAATAGTTAAGTCAAATTTTATGTTTTTGAAAGAATCAATTTATAATACGAAGATTATTGTATGAAATATCAAAGTGAAATATTAATTATACAATGAATTAATAGAAATAAATTATAAGGTATTGTTTAATTAATGATTCACTTGATGTAAGTGAATCATATAGTTTGTATTTTAAATTACAGTATTATTTTAAATTTTTACAACAAATATTTTTACTACATTATTTGTAATACATTAAAATTATATAATTGTAATACATTAAATAATGGCTAAAATAAAAGATAATACTGTTCAAGTAGTATTTGTTTCTTTACTGTTGGATCTTCTGGCATTTACTATGATATTACCATTATTACCAGCCTTATTAGATTATTATAAAGAAATAGAAAAAAATCAAGGTATATATTTTAAAATTTTATATTATGTACAAAATACAAGAAAATTTTTTGATGCTCCTGATAAAATCAATACAGTGCTTTATGGAGGTTAATAATTTTTATTCTTTTACTTTTTTAGTTAAGTTATTAATATATTAATTTATATTATATTATATTAACATATAATTTTGCTATAGGTTTTCTTGGTTCTATGTATTCTTTTTTACAATTTTTAAGTTCTCCAATAGTAGGAGCATTATCAGATATATATGGAAGAAAACCATTGATGATATGTTGTTTAATAGGAATTGCTTTGTCTTATCTGTTATGGGCATTTTCTTGTAATTTTGCTATATTTGTATTAGCAAGATTTATTGGAGGTATTAGTAAAGGAAATATTAATTTATCAATGGCTATTATTAGTGATGTTACTTCTCCAAAAACAAGAGGAAAAGCAATGGTAAAGTTTATTAAAATAAACATAAAAAAAAAGCATTGAACATTCAAGGTAAATGAACATAATGTGAATAAGTAAGTTAATATTTTTTATTTTCAGGCACTTATTGGTATAGCTTTTTCTATAGGTTTTGTAGTAGGCCCAATGATTGGAGCATTTTTTGCATGGACTTTTAGTGATAATAGAAAAGAAGCATGGTATATAATACCTGCTCTATTTGCTTTTTTTTTAGCAACAAGCGATTTGTGTTTTATTGTTTACTATTTAAAGGAATCTTTACCACAGAAGTATAGAAGCAGTAATCTTATATCTGGAGTATCTGGAATTATTACTTACATTAATCCTATAGATTTATTTCAATTTAATGGAGTATCTGGTTTAAGTTTACAAGGTAAAATTATTATAAATATATATATTATAAATTTTAGAAATTAATTAGAATTATATGTATATTATTTCAGACAAAAAAAATTTAAAAACACTGGGTTGTGCATATTTCATATATTTGTTTATATATAGTGGCTTGGAATTTACTTTAACTTTCTTAACTCATTATTTATTTAAATTTACGAGCATGCAACAAGGATGGATGTTTTTGGGAATTGGATTAATTATGGCAATCTTACAAGGAAGTTGGATACGAACAATTCCATCTAATAAAACAAAATCTATTGCAGAATTGGTAAATAATTCAAATATTTAGAATAAAAATTTGTATTTTTATTTTTGATTTCATTATACAAATTTTTAGGGTTTATGGTTGATTATTCCAGCATTTATTTGTATAGGTTTAGCAAATGATATATTAACATTGTCAATTGGATTATGTCTGTTTGCAATTTGTAAGGATATTAGAAATCTATGAAATTTATCTTTGATTATATGAAAAAGTTTCTGTATTTTTACATATATTATAGCTACTGCTATGGTTGTTACTTGTATGATGACTCTTGTAACACATATTGGTCCTGATTATCAAAAAGGTGCAATAACAGGTGTTTTTCGTTCTCTTGGAGCATTAGCACGAGCTTGTGGACCTATTGTAGCTTCTTCAGGTAAAAATAAATTATACAATCATTTAATTTAATAAGTAACTTTGAAATAAAAATGTTTATTTCAGCTTTTTGGTGCATTGGTAGTAAAGCAACATATCTTATAGGTGCTATATTTCTTGTATTTCCACCTGTAATTCTTCAGATGATGAAATCATTTTAATATAAATATTTGTTTAAGTATTGCATATTTATATTTTTACAGTATTTTTATATATTTTATAAATTGTATTATATAAATATTTTATAAAAAAAAAATTTTTTGTGCAATTATGTATTATATATGAAAAGTATTATATAATTATATATTTTGATATTCAAATTATCTTTCATTATGCATTCTATCCTTCTCTATTCAATAGCTATCTTTAAGTTAGTTAATAATATAGTTGTAAGTGTAATTATTTGTGTAATAAATTAAAAAAAATGTAACTAAAATAAATAAATATTCATAATAAAAATTATTCGAATCATAATATTTTTTTTACTTGTTACATCCCTGGAAAATTTATGCTTTTGCGCATGCGTGCTTTCTTGATCACATGACATACACGCCATTTACGGTAAGAAATTCTCGGAATTTCTTGTTCGCGGCACTCTGTCGTCGTCCGCGCTGATGTGAGTAACACGAAAGGGGGAGAATTATTGACGCGATTCGCGCGTGCGACCGGTCCCGCAATCATTACGTTTACAATTATTGCGCGGTAGACCGAGTTTGATCAGTCCAAAGGTTAGATTCTTAATAGATTGATTCAAATAAGAAAAAATAAATAATAGAAATATACAAATCCTAATTGCTTCTGTCTTCGGACTAGTGAGCAGGTGAGTACAACGAATTCTTAAAGTGAATAACTTTTCCTTACCCCTCCCGCTTATCTATTTACGCGTTACTGCAATACGTCACATTCATTTCTAAATTTTTATGATATATTCCTCATCTATTGAATTTAATTAAGATTCAAGTAATCGATAAAATCATTTTATTTCATTTATTTAAATTGTATCATCTATTTTATTAAATATAATATTGTTTCAATATAATATTAAGTACATGTTTATAATTTCTCTTATTTAAGTTTCTTAAATATATACATATCCATTTTTAAAGTAAGCATGATAATGATACCTAATGATATCATCTAAATAAACAAATATCATCTAATGATATATCATCATATATTTTAGTTCAATGATATTAATTCATATGTTTTACAAAAAATATAATTAAAAATTTTTAATAAATATATTTTTATTTATTAAATATAAATATACAAATATTAGAAATACAAAGAAAGTAGAATTTATAATAAAAAATGTTAAATTGTGGTTGTATTATTTTTAAATTTGAACATTTTTATATCATATACATTAATGAAAATATAAATATCAATTATTGAAAAATATGATTATGTTTAAGATAAAGGATTTATAATTAAAATCAAAATGTCATTGTGGGCAAAAGCACAACAATTACCACAGGATGCATTACAACAAGTACGTTCAGTATATGGAGAACATTTTCCAATAGAAGTCCGTCATTTTTTATCTTCTTGGATAGAAGAAAAAATGTGGTAAAATATTTATCTTGATGTATATTACTTATTGAGTTATTAAGTTTAAGTTATAATTATTAAAAATATTTTGTTATAGGACTGATATAGAACCTGATAATCCACAATATGAACAATATATAGCTACTCTTGTTAGATCTTTAATACAAGAATTAGAAACTAAAGCAGCTTCATTAAATACAGATGATATGTTTTTAACAAAATTAAAATTAATGGAAGCTGCCAAAAATTTTCGTGTAAGTTATAAATAAAATTAGTAATTTATTTAAAATATATATAATATATTTATATTATTCTTTCTTTGTTTAATGTAGCAAAGATATACTCATAATCCAGCGGCTTTATTTAGAATAATTAGACATTGTCTAGGAACAGAAATGAAATTAGTAGCACAAGTTGAAAATGTTGGAGGTACTTTAATGAATATGGCAGGAGGAAAAGTAGGATTGATTAGTGATGCTGTTGCTGAAATAGCTCAGCATGTTGAATCTTTGCGACGTAGAACCCAAGAAACTGGAGAAGATTTACGAAAAATGGAGCAAGAACAAGAAGCATTTGCTATTAGTTATCATGAATGTACTAAGTTAAATGCTCATCTTCAACATTTTGCAACACAGCCACAAAATCAACAAAATTTAGATATGGAGAAAAAAATTAGAAGGTAATTTAAATGTTCTTAATAATTTTGATTCAATAATTTTTTTAAAAATTGAAAATATTCTTATAGGCAAAAGGAACAACAAGAACAATTATTGAACCATAAAGTAGCAGGCTTAATGCAATTACGATTAACATTAGCTGACAAATTGAAAGACACCATTACTAGATTAAATAGCTTGCAATCTAGAGTTTTAGATGATGAACTTATTCGGTAAAAATTATTCACTTTTTTTTTCTTTTTTAAATAATTGACAGCATGATTTTTAAAGATTTAAAGAAAATATTTATTTTATATTTTTTAGATGGAAAAGAGATCAACAATTAGGAGGAAATGGTGCACCATTTAACAATAATTTGGATTCTATACAAGAGTGGTGTGAAAGTTTAGCTGAATTAATTTGGCTAAATCGACAACAAATTAAAGAAGCAGAACGTTTAAAACAAAAATTTGCACTTGAACCACCAGGAATGCAAGATATTCTTCCTACTTTAAATTCTCAAATTACACAGCTTCTTAGTTCATTAGTTACGAGTACATTTATCATAGAAAAACAACCACCACAAGTAATGAAAACCAATACTCGCTTTACAAGTACAGTACGTTTACTTGTTGGTGGAAAATTGAATGTTCATATGACTCCTCCACAAGTCAAAGTGAGCATCATTAGTGAAGCTCAAGCAAATGCTTTATTGAAAAGTGATAAAATGGCAAAAAATGGTGAAGCCAGTGGGGAAATTTTAAATAATACAGGCACAATGGAGTATCATCAAGTAAGAAAACAAAAATAATTAAAATTATTATTTCTATTGAAAATATTAAAAAATAATTTTGCTTTTTAGGCAACAAGACAACTTTCTGTAAGCTTCCGTAATATGCAACTAAAAAAAATCAAAAGAGCAGAAAAAAAAGGGACAGAATCTGTAATGGATGAAAAATTTTCGCTTCTTTTTCAATCACAATTTAGCGTTGGAGGAGGTGAATTAGTATTTGCAGTCTGGACATTAAGTTTACCTGTCGTAGTTATTGTTCATGGAAATCAAGAACCACATGCGTGGGCTACAGTTACATGGGATAATGCATTTGCTGAACCTGGAAGAGTGCCATTTGCAGTACCTGATAAAGTTCCATGGGGTCAAGTAGCTGAAGCATTAAATGTTAAATTTAAATCTGCGACAGGTCGTGCATTAACAGAAGATAATCTACGATTTCTCGCAGAAAAAGCATTTCGCGGTGGAAATGCAAGCGGACAAGATTATTCTAGTTTACTTTTGAGTTGGGCACAGTTTTGCAAAGAGCCATTACCAGAAAGAAATTTCACATTCTGGGAATGGTTTTATGCTGTGATGAAATTAACTAGAGAACATTTAAAAAACCCATGGGTCGATGGTTATATATTAGGATTTGTAAGAAAAAGACAAGCAGAAGAAATGTTGGCAAATTGTGCATCAGGAACATTCCTAATGCGTTTTTCAGATTCTGAACTTGGTGGTGTTACTATTGCTTGGGTTGGAGGTAAGTGATTTATACATTTTATTATTTCATATTAGATTCATTATTATAGTTTTTTTTGTCTCTGATTTAATAATAAAATAATTATTTTTATTTTATTAAACAATTTATAGATCAGACAGAAGTTTTTATGTTACAACCATTCACAAGTAAAGATTTCGCCATTCGGAGTTTAGCTGATCGTGTATTTGATTTACAACATTTACTTTATCTTTATCCTGATATATCAAAGGATCAAGCATTTTCTAAGTATTATACTCCGTTTACAGGTAATTTTATTCCCAGTATTTTTATTTTCTTTTGTTTATTCATATGATATTTTGAATTGAAATTATGTCAAATATATTTTCTTAGAAAATCAATCAACATCAACGAATGGATATGTAAAACCATTTTTGGTAACACACGTACCTGGATGGGGTGGGCCTGGTGTCGGTGGACAAACACCGTCGCACTCTTCTGTAGTTGGAGTAGGAAGTAGTGGTCAAAATGGCCCTGGTAGTAGTTATCCTGCAACACCATCTACTATGTTTCAAGCGCACAGTCCGGATCCTTCTGTAACTCGTGATACTCCATCAGTGGCTTCCAGGTCAGTCCCCTGGATTTAAAATATCATCATCTCTTTTTTATTAATATAAGCTGCCATAGAAATTTAAATATAAGATATGCAAAGATTCTTTTTTGACTTTCATACAATGTTGTAATTTTTATTTTATAACATATCATTTCCGGTGATTGAAATAATTATTTTTACAATGTTATATAATTATTACGTGTACTATTTGCCAATAATATATAATAATATATAAAGTTTATGTTTAAATACTTAAAATTTTATTAATAAAAATAAACGAATGATGAATTCGCAAAAAAAAAAAAAACACATTCCTATAATTACATAATATACTTTGCATATCTTTTATGTTCTATTTGTGCAGATGAATCTCAGTATTGTTTTTTTATGTTCTCTTTTTGTGAATGATTAGTATAAATATATGTAGCAAGTGCTATAATTTACAGTGATACTGTAGTTTCACATTTTATAAATTTTTTTAATGAAATTTTTGAAATTTTTATATTATTATTGTACCGTATTGAAACATAAATAATATTAATTCATGATTTAAAAAATTGTATACTAAAAAATATTGAGTGCATGAAGACAATTTTGATAAAAGATATAATTTTTTTTTTATTTTGCTTGAAATTAATCTTCATGTTACTCTGTCAATATTATAACTTTTTATCAATAAGCATATGTTTAGCATTAAGTGATATTATTAGAAAGCTTAATATAATTCAATACTGCCGTTATGAAATTTCCAACGTTTATTGCAAAAAAAATTTTATACGATTTGAAAAAAACACAAATATGTTTTTTACGGAATAATTGATAAATGGAATATTTCATATTCGTTCTAATTATGCGATACTTAATACAGTTGAGTAATAATACAGTTGAATAATATTTCAAATTTTATAAAATTGCTTGTAAAGCAAATTACAATGAAATCCGTCCAACGGATAATGTAGATAAAGTAGATCCATGGACTTTCAAATATTGATTTTTGATATTTTTTTTCATGTTTTCATTTTTTTTATCATATCATATATGTGATTTTTGTAGCATTAATAATGGATATAAAGAAAAACAAATTAAAAAATAATGATTCATGCGTTCTTCTCAGACTGCCAAATTTTATAATTTCTCTCTCTCTCTCTCTCTCTCTCTCTCTCTCTCT